AGCTAACTGCATTAACCAGAATCCACCGCATCTCAAAATTGGCAACCTCGGATGTGATTACCAAGGCGTCGTCATGCGGGGTTTGAACTCCTCAGAGGTCGTCGCCGGTGAAGGTGATTGACTGGCTGCGCTTCTTCTTGTGCCCCCAGTTGTCAATTTCACATAGCCACGCATACTTCTTACGCCCCGAGCTGCTCTCTCCTCCTACGGTGATTCCTCTTGATATTACGTGGATCACACCAACAGGAGAGGCTTAGGGCGGTGGCCGAGCATTCTCCGTGCGCTGTTCTTCCTATGCTGGCTTCTCGCTTTTGTCAATGAACCCATCGAGGTACCCATGCCTGATAAGGTCTTTGATGTAGTTGCACAGGTCGAAGCAGTTCTCCGTGTCGTAGCTGTGGTCTCTATAGAACTCGAATACTTGTTGCAGTTCCTCTTGTTGCCTTGTGTTTTCATCTTCTCGGGCCATTGAACATAACTGCGGACACGGATTTGCATCAGGACTTCAGACCACAGTGTGAAGTTCTTCTAGGTCGGCGGCGATGTTCGTGGTCTGTGATCAGGTCGTAGGTCCTGCCTCTTGTGGTTCCGATATGATCTTTCTAACTTTCGCTCCTTGGTGTCTCTCCTCTTTTTGTCGGGCCTTTCTTCCTCATCCCATATCTATGCATGTGCTTCTTCCGCGTTGATATACTTCTGGGCATGAGTCATTAGGTTGGCTAATGTCTACGAAAGGTGTTTGGAGATGGAGAAGTTGAATGGCGAGGGGAAGAGTCCATGTTGGATGGCGGTGACAACTATGGACTGGTTCAGGTTTTTGACCTGAAGTGCTTCGGTGACAACTACAGACTGGTTCAGGTTTCTGACAACTTCTAGCTCACCGTAAATTGTGCTCGGAACTGGGTCTCTAGCTGACTCCACGATGCTATGGAGCGTAGGGGTAGTGTACGAGAGTCTTGCACATCAGGCCCTCGGAAGATCCATGCAGCATCATTTGAGCTTTCAGGGCCTCGACGTGGTCGATAGGGTCAGTGTTCCCGTCGTATTTTTCCAACTGAGGTGCTTGTCATCCTGTGGGAGGCACCTCATCAACGATCTCTTGGATGAATGGTGGTTCTTTGACAAGCTGAATAGTTGGTTGCACGGGCTGATCTACGACCGACGCTGTGCTCCTCTAGATTTGGCTACGCTCCAACTCTTCTAAGCGTTGTTGGAGTTCTCGAATTTCGGCATCCCTATGGACCGGAGCCGTGGTGTACATTGCCCTTTCTTTCTTAGGGCGCACAGGGCGGTCTTTCACGGAGCTGGATTCGGCGACGGAGACCACGTGAGGCGGCGTCCATATACCGAGCCTTTCTTTGGCGGATATCCATGTGGTTTGGTGCATCCTGCTGTTGTTGCCAGGTTCGCGAGAGCGGACAGAGGGGGCAGACTTTCTTGTTGTGTCCTACTTTTCTTGATTGGATTGCACTGCCCCCTTGTTAGCCCGGTGCGCTTTGGGGTCCTCGGGGCAAGGATCATCTTTCGTACGTGTCGGGGCGTGAGGCGGGACGACCCTGTTGGGCGATGTCATGGATCCTAGGTTCTGCATCATCTCGAAGATCTTGTCGACCTTCTCTTGTATCGCCTAGAATTGCACAGGATCGAATGTGGCTGGGTGTTGCTAAGTTTCTTGGTGTTGAGAACTGTGGCAGCGAGATTCCTAAGATGGGGATTGGCCTGTTGATCGCTTAGAATGGTCTCTCGGCATCTTGATCGCTTTCTTGATTGCACGGTGAGAGAGATTTCGAGAAAAGCTTTTCGTGTGTTTCCCACAGACGGTGCCAATTTGATGCTGCTCAATCCGAGGTGGTGCACGAAATGAGGAGAGCAACCAGATAGTCCTTACCAATAGGGCGGAGCCGAGGTGGAAGGAAAAAACCGCACTTCAAGACCTGTGATCAAGAAAAGGAAGTCAGAGGCCCAAGGATCCCCAAGTAGGCACTTCGACGCTCAAGTCAGTAGAAGGTGGTGGATGATTGAGCCAAGCAATGAGGGTGCTGGTCTGAGCAGAGTAACAATATGGTTGTCAGAAGTTCGATCCCTTACCTTGAGCAAGGAGTACCTTTTTATAGCCGAAGATCCGTGTCCTGGTCGGATTGGGCTTCCAGGGTTACCGGGATGAGGTTAGCCACCAAAGTATTTGGGATAAAGTCCTATTCTCCGGCGAAATTAGCTTCCTTACTCCTCTTTATCCGTAGATATACTTATCCGCGTGACGCATACCTGACGTGGCTGAAAGGATAAGATGAGGGGCCAATACTAATTGCATAGCCCAATATAGGCTGTGGAGTCAATGTATGCCGCGGAGCTGGCTGAGCTATGCTGACGTGGCCAGGGTGACTGGGCAATGACTAGGCAACCACATGTCTCTCAGGAGCAGCTCAGCCATGACTCGAATACATACCTTGAATTCAAATTGGCAAAGAGCGGAAAAGGCCTCAACTTTCTCCTAACAAAGTTGTCTGTAAGGTTTGCCAAAACTAAGGGTGGAGATATCCAAAATTTGTATCTGGATCCCTAATTGCTTCACCAGCTGTATATTGGAGTGATTTTCAACCATATACATAGCCGTAGGTTCACCTTGCAACCACTCATATTGTTGTCATCCATGTTAGTTGGTCAAGAAGAGGCACATTACCCTAGACCGGAGGAGAAGATGGATGGGTGGAAATAGAGATGGATGAGTTATTTAACGACATAGGAGAAGATGGGGAAGTGAATATGACTATCATGGAGGTGAAGCGTGGTCACTGGATGTCTGGTCTTATTATCCAAGGTGGCCTCCAAGGAAAAGAGATTAGGCCTAAATAATATTAGGCTTTTCTTTTGCTCTACTCTGTATATACTATATACCTTTTCATTTCAGTGAATGTTACGTATGGGAATTGAACAAATAATATAAGGCTTTTCCTTTGCTCTACTATGTATGTACTATATACTTTTTCATTTCAATGAATGTTAAATATGGGAATTGAACAAGTACGTTTTGACAAAATCAATGTAAAATTCATCTATATCATCTATGCTTGTCATCCTTGTTCTTGATCCATTTGTGCTCTATGGATTCAAAAATTTCATCAAAGGGAACAAATTTGATTGCAAGCCTGAAATCTGTTAAATTATTGTTGGTCAGCTTCACATCATTATATTAGAATTAAATAACATTGGGAATGTTTGATTAAAAAGATTGGTGTAGTTGTTTACTGATTTCTAGTCACCATTTAAAATCCTATATTTACAATATTATACTTCAAACTGCTGCATGGGTGAAATAAGAACAACGAGAGTTGCAGGGGTGCTGCAGGGTTACGGAGATGGCTGGAATACAGCACCGGCGAGGGTTATAGTGGCAAGGAGGGTTCTTGTGTGGACGGAGTACAGTAGCGTGTTGGTGGGGAGAGAGAAGAACCACTGACGAGAAATTTGAATAGGTGGCCGGAGTACAGCAACATATTGGTGGAGAGAGGAGAACCACGAGAGAGAAACTTGAATCGGTGAGAGATGGAACTATCGGGGATTACAGCGGCGAAGGGGCGATGGGTGGAGAGGGGAGGGAGAAGAAGAGACGAACTCACAGCAGTATTCAGAAATGAAGTTCATACCGCCCTTAGAAATAGTTTTCCGTTAGTTTCAAATATACTGGGAGAAGAGGACGTGTTCAAATAGGATTAGACGGGACAGAATTTTCTGTCCCTAGGAGACAGACGATCCGGACTCCACTTACAGTAATCTTGTTCTATTGTTGCCAAATTATCATCTGTCAACGCCAAGATAAGGGAATCGTTCCAATCTTTTTACAACGAATTCTACATTCTGGTGTCTGCAAATTTATCCATTCCCGCTCTATGGGATCTCTCTAGAGTTCCCATATTTCTGTTATTCAGCATTACAGGCCTCGCTTTTTACCTTTTCCTTTTTGAGTACTCCTCTCAATGCAAGAGCTAGCAAGAAACCAAGAATGAGAAATCACCCCTAGCATAGTAGCATTGGAAATACCGGTCGCGAATTTGCGGTGATGTTACACGGTTGATTCCACCGACTACCATGATTTGGATGACAGTGCTAGGGACGGTCATGGTTTCGATCAGCTGAGCATCCTTTTTGTTTATAATTACTTCAATACTCTGAACAGAGCGCGACGTCTGCTACACTTTGAAAAGGAAGGAAAAATTCTCCATTAGTATCCTCTAATTTGGGTCTAGTGTCATTTTGGTTTTCAAACTTTAATCAGATGTTAATTCATCACCCAAATTTTCGAAGTGTGGCAATCCAGTATCTACTGTTAATCAGATGTTAATTTATCGTTAAATAACATTTAAAAAAATATAAATGCCCTCTAAGTGTCATTTAATTTTCTTTATCAACCACCTAAACGTTGACAAATCCTTGCTTCTTTCATCCAAAAAATTGGGATCACGTGTAAATAGACATTCTGGTGACCTCAACTTTCTTAAATAGAAAAGGCAAGGATTTGAAACTTAATTTTTTGTTAAATGTTTAGATAATTGATAAAGAAAATTAGAATACACAAGGGCATTTGTATCTTTTTCAAATGCCACTTAACTAAATTATCACATTTTGAAAATTTAAATACTGAGTTGTCATATTTTAAAATTAATGACCAAAATGACACTAACCCAAAATACAGGGTACTAATTGGAAATATTCCCTTGAATGAATGCTGCTGCGTCAAGATGTTTATTCATCGTGTTCCCAAAGTGAAGTTTTAAGCTCTATTTTTATTGTATGTTCTTCAATATGAAGCAGATTACTTAAATAATTTTTTTGGTAAATAAATTATGAAGTTGGAAAAAGATTACTTAAATTTAGAGTTTAGACCGCGGAATTCACTTTAGTTTTAATTTCAGCCCCAAAACCACTTACATTACAGGCTTCCCTTTGCTATTTATCCATTTTGATTCTCACCCAAACCCAATCAGGATTCATGACTGCCTATATCGAGACACAACATTTTGGGAAAGATTGTACTATTATCATTGAGATAAGTAACAGCGACAGGAAGGAAGCGTTCTGCATCTTCCGTCTATCAAGATTATTACAAATCATTTACACACACAGAGAGAGAGAGAGAGAGACTTTCTTATCTTCTCCCCCACATTTCCACTCCGCCACATTTGGGTATCGTTTATGGAATTTTCGAGAGGAGATGACAGAACTGATGGCGGACAGTGCAGTGCATTCCTTGCCGTCAACCGTCAATCTATCTACTGTGCTTGCTGTAGCCGCGTTCTCGTTCGTACTCCCGGTCATGGTCTTTCCCACGATCCCGATCTCTTGAGCTCCTCGAAGGTCGGATTTCCTCTTCCCACTCGTCCGAAGGGGGTGGCGGTGGCGGCTCGTATCGTGAAGGTTTTCTCTTGAAGTGCCGGTCTTCGTCACTGGAGTCGTGATCGATTACGCTGCTGCTTCTTCGAGCCCCTCCCACACTTGATACAGAAGTTGCCTTGACCGGTGGTTTCCAGTCATCACGGTAGCCATTCGACGAGGACCTGTGATGAGTGGAGGAAGCAGGAGGCTCATAGTCCTTGTACCCGTTGGAGAGATTTTCGCTTTTCTCCGTCGTAGAAGACGACAATTTCCTCTTCTTACTTCCTCCCTCATCAGGGAAGCTGATACGGGAGAAGACGCTGCCTTTCTGTTTCCTGTCCGCCCCCGCGGCTGCCGCCTTGACCGATTCGGTTGTAACTGCCGCTGGAGTGGCTTCATCGTGATGATGACGGTGGTGGTGATAATCATCAGCTCGACTCCTCTTCCCCAATCGAGCTGACTCGATCTCCCGTGAGGAACGTTCCGGACTTGACGCCTTCTCCGATCGGCGGTGTTGGTAGTGGTGATGGCGATCCCGGTCCGGGCTCAGCGATTGAGAAGTCAACTTCTGTAGCAAGTCAAAGAAAAAAATATATATTTAGAACAAACCTCTCAACTAATGACAACGAGACGACCATAGCGAACCACGAGTTAATTTTTGACCTACCCCATCCCTTTATTTCCCAGTATTTTCATCCTAACGTAAAATTTGAGAAAAACTTTTGACCCATTAGAAAATGAAAACCACTTTTACCATTTACTTTAAAATTAATCAAAAACAAAATCAAAACAGAAACAAATTTTTCACCGAGAAATTTCAGTCAAAGTTTTTTGAACTGAGGAACAAATTTTTTGCATCATTTTCATCCCAACAATACTGGGCATAACCTTTTATTACTAATAATAATTTTAATGCTACACTAATAACGCAAACGCCACTCAGGTTTGGACAACCACCCAAATGGGTGCATTGAAGAGATGGGATAACCAGTAGGCAGTAGCAATTGGCAATTAAGCAAAGCCACAACACTAAGGGCCACCACCCAGCACGGATGCCCGCCTAATGTAAAGCCAAAGTTGCCAAAGCCCCTCCTTTTCACAATTCTAAGCCAAAAATAACTGGTGAAAGGCATAGAAAGACATAATGCTGCATTTTGACCACATAACGTGTGCGATCAAGATTGAAGGTGTAAAAACCTTTCACCTCTTTGCCCCTTCCCTTCAGTTTCAGGATTCGTGAGTCCGGGGATAAGTACCATGTAAAAATGGACGAATTAGGTAAGTACCAAAGCGCGAATTCAGACCCCACTAATCACTCTTACATGACCCAATAAGTTGTACTAAGGCCATGTTTGGAAATGCTTAAAAATAAATACTTATTTGGTGGAAACCACACCATTAAACACTTATTGGTGTTTGGAAAATAAATCCAAAATAAGTGCCGATTTTAAAAATAAGTAATTATTTTTTAAGCCCAAATTTCCAATTTTTTAAGTGCTTATACAATAAACACTTGTTCATTTTCTTTTTCAAAAGTATCCCTAATTGAATTTTCAAATACCACTTATAAAATTATCCCTAGTTGAATTTTATAAAAGTACTTCTATAAAAATATTTTCATAAAAACACTTTTATAAAAATGCTTTCGTAAAAATACTCTTATAAAAGTACTTTTAGAGAAATACTTTTATCCATAAAAGTTGTTTATAAAAGTATTTTATAAAAATTAGTTTATTAAAATGCTTTTATAAAAGTACTTTCATAAAAATGCTTTAATAAAAATACTTTTATTGAAGTGCTTTCATAAAATACTTTTATAAGAGTAGTTTTATAAAAATATTTTTATTAAAATACTTTCATAATAAAAATACTTTTATAAAAACACTTTAATAAAAATACTCTTATAAAAGTGATTTCATAAAAATATTTTCATAAAAGTGTTTTTCATAAAATTACTTTTATAAAAGTGTTTTCGTTAAAATGCTTTCATAAAAATAATTTAGTAAAAATACCTTCATATTTTGAAAATTTGAAAGAAAATGAATGACCAAATAATCACACGTGCTTATTTAAGTGCTTATTGGAGAAAAAGACTACCAAATGCCCAATTCGAAACAAGTGCTTATTTTACAATACGTTTATTTCTCCACAATGAATCTATGTTAACATAAAATGGATTTATTTCCATCTCCTTGCAATGAAAAGGTTGTTTACAGCCCCTTCTAATTTATTTTATTTTAAATGACGAGGAAAACAAAATTTTCATTGTAAGAGCTCAAAATACAGCTGAAATTTCTCAGCCCGGTTTTTTTGTCCATTTTGTGTTGAAACAAATACACCTTATTATTCATTCAACAAGATATAGATGCCCACCACACCAACAAATGTAATGTTCCACTTCCACACGGTAGAATACAACAAAGATGTGGAACTGGAAAAGTGAACAAACATAGGAAGGGCAATGTGAACATAAAACCTCGAGGATGACTAGAGTTGAAGTTGGTTAGTGGCAGGTTTTGATTTTGGGAACGGATGCAATCTTTTATAGCCCCACCACAGACCTTTTGAAGTGAGGACTATGGACTCAAAATCTGAAAGCCACTTCTGACCATAATCTTATAAAATCCTGAAAAATACAACAGATGACCCCATACACCCCATTTAGGTTTTACTTATGGCAGATTCTCTATGGTCCAACTCAACAAAATATCAAGAATTTTGGACCATCAACTCTCCTGAGCATTGAGCAATGTTAGCAGAGCATCAAACCAGACTTCACACCTCAGGCATGGTTGGACCCATGAACACAGGTCCCACCATTCCATTAGTACGTAGAAGTCAAAAGGTTAATACATAAAGAAACCCCTGCTGCTAGAACTGCTCATTGAAAACATTTAGATGAATCTACACCGCGTAGTTCTTGTTAACTATAGCCAACCATTTGCCTACATAATGCTATACCACTAATCAACCTAAAGATTTATACCCAATGGAATTTTGTAATCCGGTGGTTTCATCTTTTAGGATGTTTTGATTTGAAAAGATTGGCAAATCACAGCACCAGCAACAAAACGCCTTTTTCTTTTTTCCAATGATGAAAAAGAAAAAAGAACAATTGCGTTTTCTTGCCAACCTTTCTGTAAACATGAATGATATCAACCAGTACAGAACCATAAATGCAAGGCAAATTTAGACGACAAAAAAGACATACAGGTTTGGGTTTCATTGAAGAAACATCACCACTGTTGCTCACTTCTCTACCAACTTCACGTTCCTTGGAACACTCCCTGCTTCACAAGAAAAAAAGAAGCTTCAAACTCAGATAAAGAAAAACATTAAACATCATATTAACAGGTCAATTACAACACCTAAGCAAGCAGCCAACAACCAGAAAATCACAAGCAACAATGGATAAAAAAGGTAGCGAAGAACAGAATTTGACAACATTATCAATTTCCATACTGTTTAATCAATTAGCTCCCACCAAATGAGGCATGGTTCGGATAAAAGGGACCTTATCAGTAATTTCATCTTCTCCAATTTTTACCAGAAAGAATCAAACACAACTTCCTTTATACATGAACACCCACACTTTCGGTGCTTAGGAGTGGATTTTTCCATGCTGCAAAGAATGAAATTTGATGTGGAACACAAGAAACCCTTCTAGATGCAATTGCAATTTACTTCCACATCCACCAACCACCAAAGAAAATTGATAGAAAAAACACCAGAGAGTTGGAAATACACATTAAAAGAACCTCTTGCTCTCGGTCTTCCACATACAAATAAATCATGGGGACCAAAGAGTCTCATGTCATTTCAGAATCACACAAAATAACCAAGACAACATACATCTCCAATGTGATTAACTGAAAAAGCTTAGGGGAGTTGCAGGAAAAGGCACAGAGCATTATGAAAAGAGAAATGGTCTAAGAAATTCCAAGGAATCTTGATCACACGGGATTGCATTAGAGCTGTTGCACGAAAAGGCATTAGCGAGAATGATAACTTACCTTTCACCACGTCGTTCAATTTCACGCTTTCTCCTTAGGTCAGCCTTCCGAGCCTCAAATTCCTCTCTGCTCATGACTGGGGGTGCAGGAGTTGAGCCCATAGCAAATTCTGCGAGGTCCCTGAAAATTTTCGAGTTTCACAAACCAATTAGACTTTTGGCAACCCATTTGCAAGCCAAATATTAACTCAACAACCCCAACACCCATCCCAACAAAACAAAAAAGAAAATCACAGGAAGAAGCACAACATATCTTTCATTAAAATACCTCTGAGGTGGTACAACAGGCAACATATATCCCTGTCCTCCTAGAAATGGATCTTGTGGCAGCATTCCTCCAAAGGGAACATCAAATGGACCAGGGGTGTAGCCCATATATGGCATAGTACTAGCATAAGGAGCCACATATCCATCCATCCCAAGAGGTAGACCAGTCCAATATGGGTTATAGGTTGAAGGTCCAAGAGGCATCATATAGCTTTCAGCTGCAAGATCCTGAGAGGCTCTCCACTGCATGTCTGCAGCTGCAACACAAATTACTAACAATTAATAAAACTTAGTAACCAAGAAAAGCAAACAAGGAAAAGTATGACTAGTGAAGATATTAAAATTCCTGTGCAAGAGCACAAACGCGCACATACAGAACAAGTAAAAAACGAGAACTAAACATTCCTGGAAATTCAAATTTATGCTCACTGCATGCGCACGTTTTCCATATTCTTGTAATAGCCTTTTTCTTGCTTGTAATACCCCCTTTTTTCTTTTAATAAAAAATTTCCCTTTACCATCAAAAGAATTTCTTTTTTTTATTTTCTTCATTGACCACACATTAAAATATTTGCTCAAGATTTTTTCTATGTTTCATGGTCAATACCCAAGAAGCAAGGACACTGGAAAAAGATTTATACAAAACAAGATCAGGAAGAGATATGGGGTACAAAGCACTAACCATTTAGAGGTAAACGGACTTTCTTCTTCTTCTTTTTCTTTCCTGAAAACCCAGAAAATAAAATGTCAATATGTAAATGATCCTTTACCTAAATTCAAAAATTATAACCTTACGGACTTCCTGTTGTTAGCACTAGTTCCTGCAAATATTGGCAAGTAGGACATCTCTTAAATGAATTAGGGAAAAAAGCCCACTCACAAGACACCATATAAGACAAACAGATTACAATCAGAAGAAATGAAAGGGTGAAAAAGTCTTCACGGCCTAAGCATCTACAAATTGTGAGACTTAAGAACAGAAAAAGTAGAACTGTTCATTGTCCAAGGGCCCCAGGACAAGTAAATATGACTTACAAAAGAAGACAGTTTTTACCTGGCTCACCAGTAGGCATCTTCTGTTGAACTTCCTCCTCAACAAGTGGAGCACTTCCCTGAGATGTTGGTTCCTTCATACTTATTGACTCATGTGTGGCTTCTGATACATCAACAGTTTTTACAGTCTTTCCTTTCTCTATGGACTGTTGTGGAACATTAACAACTGCTTTTCCTTCATTTTCTATCTCCTTGGTATCTGGAGTGTCATATTTTTGTGGTGGTGGAATGTTCACTCCCTTGGAAGTCGCAGAAAGAGTGGGTGATGGGGCTTTTGGTTGTGGGATGCGAGCAGACTCCATATCTGAAGAAACCCAGTGGGTATGATACACAAAATTTGAAGACAGTTGAACCAAAAAGAGAAACATTATTAAAAGCAAACCTTGAACTTGCAACATGCTTCCTGCATTTTCTGTGCTACTGTTATTCGACTCCAAAATGCGGTTGATAGTGTCCCTAAGTGTCTTATTAGGCAGAAGATCATCTGCAAGTATGTTGGTGGCCCCACAAACACACATTGGCTTCGAAATAATGTGGTCCCTGATGCCTATTTTTAATAAGAGTTGGCATATTTTAGAATCTCTAGACATAAATTTTAGACAAATTAAAAGAACAGTAACAATGATAATCAAGACTATCTTTCCCACATTGAAGAGCAAGATAAACGTTATTAGTTACAAATACAATCATCAAATAGTTATATGATGACCATTTGAGGTATGAAACAAAATAAAGGATCAAGATAATGCTAGTTTGAAGTGGCCAGATCCTTAATTACTAATAAACAGTTGCAGATGCATCCAGTTTCTTGATATCTTATGAACAAATTAATACATACAACATAGCCAGCAATCCCTATAAAAAATATAAAAGGGAAGAATGGAAGGGAGGTAAGTGAGATGGACCAGAATCCTCACATTTATCACAAAAACTCTTAAAACAGCACTTGCTTGTTAGTACAGCATCTTTCATTACTTCCTTGCATAATGGGCAGCGGAGATCTGGTGGAAGATCACTGATTGGTCGAGTGGTGGGTAACCCTTCAATTTCCTTCTCAAATGCAGCCCTGTTTTGAATTCAAAAGGTTGTAGGTAACCATCGAGCCTATAACAGAGCTTTACTATAACAGAAAGGTACAAGATTAATAAGTTGAATAGATAGCTTACTCATTTGGCTTCAAAACAGCAACTGCACCACTTGGCAATGCATAAGAACCCTCTGGGGTTGCCATTAACATTGATTTTGGAATACCAGTTGGAGGTTTTACTCTTTTAATATCATAATTAGGATCACCATTTGTAGGGCAGTGCTGAATAAAATGACCTGGATGGTATCAGATCAAACAATGAGTTCACTTGACCATTGTAGTAGTCATAGCAGCAGTAGCAGTAGAAAGAACAAACACACAAAAAATAATTAGCATGGTCAACAATGATGAGTATACAGACCTGTAATGATATGCAAATATGATCGCAATACAAAAAAAAAAAAAAGAAAAAAAACATAGCATGGTGAACCATCAAGAATGCAGTATTGCAAGACAAAATAAAGCAATAACTAACAAACACTCTGTAAACAAATACATTATTAAATACTCCATACTTTGTTGAATTTTAACATTATAAACCTATTGAAAAAAATTTTGAAAGATTATCTTTGTTATTTACATCTTCTAGGAAAAATGGCAATCAATGTATAATTTGTATCAAACAAGCAATGATAGAAAAAAATGTCAAATAGAAGTGTCCCTCAAGAATCCATGCAGTGTCAGAGTCAAATGTGTATCTGATACAGATGCTTCATCCATTTAGGAGAATCCATGCATCACTACAAGAATGTCAACTTACCCGGCACCTTGCATCTGTGACAGATATAACCAGCAGGAGGTGTCTTTCGCTCCAACCCACCACGACCTTGCAAAAAGCAAGCTATCAAGCTCACCAGCAATAATTGACATAATTCTTATGAAATTCAATGAACTCTAACAAAAATAGACAGAAGAATTACCAAAACCCCGGCCACCCATCATTCGTCCACCCATACCCCTCCCAAATCCTCTACCAGGGCCAAAACCCTCTTGGGTTTGCCTGCAATCAAATTTAGAATTTCAAAAGGATTACATTAGTGAAAAAAGAAAACACAGTGCATGGACAAGTGGTACCATATTATCATATAAAGCAACATATGACAAGGGAAAGGGTCTCACCGCTGCCAGTCCAAGGCTGGCGTGTCAATTAAAGCTTTGATCTTGCTATCCTCATCAACTTTATTGGGAGCAGGAGCATCCTGCACCAGATTGCTCGATTGAACTGGTGGCACTTCAGGAATGGCATACAAATCATTACCAAATTCATCCCATTCCGACTCCTCAGGCTGTAAAGTCCAAATAAGTATTACAAGAATGAATCAAGACTAGACAATGAAACCATGCAAGAACCAAACCACATCAAAGTAAAATGATGATAATGCTTACAAATCTCAAAGCAGGTGAATCTGCAATAGGGAAGCTACTGTTTGCTGGTGGAGCATCCTCTACCTTATTCTCTACTACTTTCTGCCTGCAGCAGAACAGACAGATAGCCTATCTCAAACAGAACCTAGAACTTTCCTCACAACAACTAGCAATGAAGAAGATATTGACACTAGCACAGAATGGTTTACAACTAAAAGCACAAAAAGGCACCACTAAAACAAAGGGGATTGATTTAATCATTTAACCCATACAAAACTAAGAAACATTGAAAGACAATACGTTATAAAAACTACAAAAATTAAAAATTAAAAAAAAAAAACAGCAAACAAAGAACGAAATGATCAAAGATTGAAGGTGTGAGGCTGTACTCATCCTGCTCAGGAACAATGGGCATGCGCGGCCGTCCAGGTACTCGACGTACTAAAACAGAGGTATTTTTGGGTATCAACATGTCTTCATCAAGGTAGTCTGAAATCGCAAAGCAAAGAATGAAACATCTATAAAACACTGCAGAGAGATCAACCCAGCCCATGTAACCATACATAGAACAAGTGAAACGCAATCCTTGGAACCCAGAGTGGGACCTAGAAATAGCAATAACTCAAGATATGGATCGTAATAATAAATTGATCCCACATTTGACATCCGTCCTCAAAAAAGATCCAGCCAATTCGGCCCTCAAACTTAGTTCCTTTTAAATTCATCATCCCAACCCTTCTAAGTTCTAACGTCTTGGCACTTGCATCCAAGAACTCCCAAACACAAACTACCCCAATGCTACCGAAACACCAACCAGTAAAAGAGCATGAGAATTGATCTACCTGGATCCAAGCCTAAAAAGATACAACTAATAAACCCCATGACTTAACAAATTGTTTTCACTACACGCAAAATGAATATATGAATCAATCAAAAAATCTGAAAGAACCAACCTTCATTGGTTTGAGCGTTGGAGACCATGAGGTCAAAATCAGTGCCCCTGCCCAAATGCTTGGATTCAAATATTTTTTCTTTCAAATTCGCAACTGATATGAAATGACCGTCGATAGGAATAGAGTCGTAATCTTTTGCACTTTTAAACTTATAATACACAGCCATATTCCTTTTCTTTTCACTCTTCTATAAACGTAAGAGAAATCGAGAAAAAGAAATTGGCCAAAGAGGAGGGGAAGAAATTCAAAGGCCGTAAAATAAAAAAGGCCTGATCTTAAACTCAAAAAATAAAAACAGATAATGAGTACAAGTAATTATCTCCTTCCGGTTGTCTTCTATAAGACAAACAACGATCGCACGAACACACAAGATCTATTCAAAGTGGAAGGTTCGTCCTCCAAGAACTCGAATTTGTGAAAATTAGAAACTTTCTACTCGAATCCCTCTGATGCTGTTCTACCAAAAGAATTCTTCAAATCTTGAAGATCGGACGAAGCCTCTAACGAAAAGTTGGTAGATTCTCCGCCGCACCCAAACTCAACTGATCGTCGCGAGTCCAATACTTTCAAGCAGATCCAAATGAATGAAACAAAAAACCCTTCGTTTCAGAGAAAGGGGAGCCAGACGAAGCTGTAATTGGACATCCAAAGTCTGGAGATTCAAAAGATCGCCATGGCCGCAATCTTCACGAACCGATCTTGACGAATGAATTCAGCCTCGAAATTAGATCCATGGCCCGGAACAACGAACACAACCTGATTAGGCGACCGCAGAACCCCATTACAAATCCACATAAACAAAATAATATCTCAGGTATCCGAATGGTCAAAACCCAACGTGCAAAGAATTTAATTTTCCATTAAGATAATAAAAAACGGTTCAGGATTCCAAGCCCTAGAAGAACCGCGAGAGAAGATAAGATGAAGAACAAGGGTTAGGTTTTCCTCGGAGAGGGAATCGCGTGTTGTTGCAGAACAGAATGGGACGGAAACGCAGAGCACCAAGGGTTACGGTTTCGCCTTTCTGCCAAACCAAAGGGAGCCTTTCGTATATAAAACAACCGATAACTGTGGTTAAACCCCGATTGAATCCTCACTAGAAAGTTGGTATTGGACCCGGTTCCGACCGGGTTCAACCGTCTGTTTGACGTGAGAGCTAGAAACCACGCGGCACGCGTGGACTTTCCAAAAAAAAAAGTGCATTGAATGACCAAGAGGTTTTCTCAAACCACGTAATCTCGATACGTGGTCTCAGGTACAGGGAATTGTGTTTGTGTGGTGAATCATGACTGTCGCAGTTTTGCGAGTGGAACTGTAGACGTCTTGAAGTGGTCCTAACTCAGGTGCCAAACTGGCCTGCACCATGTACCAAATTGGCCTTGGGATTTCTGACCTGCCGAGCTTACCAAAATTAGAATACATCAACCGTAAAGCACTAGAGCTTGGGCCTTGCAGAAAAAGTTAGGATTCTAAATAATACCCAACCGGGATGGTTCACATCACAAATAGGACCATTTCAGAGGATCCAACCCAGCAGATGAAAACGAACAATAAAAAGTAGGATTCGTTTGGTTTGAAGTCGAAATCAGAATCGAAATCAAAATTAAATTTTTTCAGAATTGGAATTAAAATGGCCTATTTTCATAGTTTGTTTGGTTCAGACAAAATTTGGAATGAGAATTGAAATGAGTTAAAATGGAAATTCATTCTCAAAGAAGGGGGAGGGAATGGCCATTCCCTCAAATGGGGAATGACATTCCATCAAGAATGAGAATGGGATTCCAATTTCATTCAACCAAACAGTTGGAATAGGAATGCTCATTCTAATTCCAAATCTATACCTCTATTCCCATGGTTTTCAAAACTGGATCGGACCAGATGGTCGGACCAGAAAAACCGAGAACCAATCAGGTGATTGGTTTCGTTTTCCCCAAAAACTGGATTTCCCCCCCAAAACCGTTGATTTTGGTTAGTGAACCGCTGACCCAAGTGGTTAACCATTCAAATAGTTTTGACCGTTTTTTTTATTTTTTTGTCAGAACGGGCCAAACATTCAATTCGAACGGTCAAACCGTTCGACCCAGTAACTAGACCCCTAACCGGTTCGATCACCAGGTCGTTTTTAAAAACCATGCCTATTCCCATGACCAAATGGGCCCTAAAAGATAAATTACATAATACAACCCGGAAGTAGTTAATTATACACAATATTTAGCTCCCTGAGCTTTCATATACCAACATTTTGCCCCTTATGTTACTATTATCTTATCTTCAACAAAAGATTTTCATTTGACTGTTATTATGCTTGTTAAGCATTTATAAATTTCCAAACTAACATTTCTTTAATTGTTATGTTCTTGTTGCCTCATGATTTCAAAGTTCAAACATTTTCAAGGCTCTCTACTCTACCAAAACGGAACGGCAAAACAAGATTCATGTAATTGGCACCATATAGTTAGGATAAGGCTTAAATGATGATGATGAAAGCTCTCTTCTCTCTTAAATCTTCATTCAAAGCTCTCAGGTACATGCACAACTTCATATCCATTTATCATCTATTTTTTCCAGTCAAATTGAATCAAATTCAAATTCCATATCAATTAATTTTAATTGATAGAGTTCAAATAGGAACATTTGTATATCAATCAAATAGGAATCAAGGTTTAGAAGATGCAAATTTGAAACAGGATTCATGTAATTGACCCCATATAATTGGAACAAGGTTTAGATGATGATGATTCGAATCAAATTCAAATGTCATGTTCTCATCAAATTGAATTCAGGTGTATGTATATTCCAATCCAAATTTGATTTGATCCATTTGTAGCCCTATGATGAACAAGTTGTGCAGCAAGAAAGTGTCAGTGTTTTTAGGAATGGGACACAACATGAGGGCACGGCAGCATAAAGGGGTTATTTTCACAAGTCCAGCTTTAATCAGGGCAAAGCCCGTTCCAACAGCCTCAACGGCCTTTACAGCCTTGCGTTGAAAGTATCTCCGTACATATTTATTTAATGGGAGACCCAATGCAAGGTTGCAAGGGGCTGATCGAAGGGTGCAAACTTGCCCAGATAGAAGCCGAACTCTATTTTCACCAACCAAATAGTAAAACTGACGGCAAAAGACTGTCAGAAGGTTGTGTCCTGTGTAGATGAGGGTTTTACTTTGGTTCTACTATGTTCCGGCCACCTCATTGATTTTTATATTTAAACCCTAAATTCCTAAACCTTATAACCAAAGTGTTAAATGCATATGATCAGATTTATGCCCTTCGACCATGTAAAGTAATCCCCGTCTTGATTTTTAATTTTTTATATCTAAACCCGAAAGCCCTAGATCTTATAATCAAAGTGTAAAATGCATATGATCAGATTTATGGCCTTCGACCAGGTAAAATATTCGCCGTAGATGAATTGGTCATTCAATACCCGTCCCAAACTCCCAATATAGAGGCATGGGATCAAAACCGCATTAACTGTAGTCTGTAGACTCTCTGTGGTCAGTGTACGCACCCTGCTCTGTCGTCCGTCCCCACCCTTTACCCCCCACCCCCGGTACCGTATAGTGTAATTTGTATGTTGTAATGTCAAAAGAAAATAAAGTTGTGGCCAATAAGAAGAGGCTTTTTCAGCCACAAGTTGGGCCACCAACACGACAACGCGTGCCCTGTTGCTGAACTTGTGTAGCAAGTATAGCCAAAGTCGACGTCCACATCAACTTTCTAAGTCGTAAGTCCTGGTTTTAACTTGAGAGTGCAGAGTTAGCTTAACCGGTTAACCCCCGAATCCAAAAAAACAAAGGGAAAAAACGCTTCAAAGTTCAAACTCACCAGGGAGCATTACTATTATTGGATACTTGGATGGTAATTTTGATGAAATCAGCTGATGAATATTGCTGCTACAGGAGCTATTCTCGCCTCGCGACTCGTGAGTCATGATTGAATGCCAAAGGTTGCAGAACGACAGCCAATCGATGGTATGAAGTCATGACTGTCATGGAAGCTTTTGGTCTTTATAGATGCTTTTCATTCCAAGTGATGGACGGAATGGTGTGGACAAAAAAACTGACCTCGAAGTGACCTTCCAGACCCTACTCGGACCATATTTTTGAGTCTCATGCACTAATTGTATTTGTACTCCGACCATACAATCCTTTTCTGGATGATCTCTTACCACTGTCCCTGCACTTGAGGTCTACTGACTTACCACGGAGAGCTTGCAGTTAACAAACTTAATATAACTGTTTTTTTGTTTGTCATAGGAAGCCAGCTGCCAGGTGATATGGGTCTTAGCAGTGGGCATGTGGTCCTCCAGCCAAACAGTATTATGCCATTCCTTTCCTCCTCCATTACTGCCCAAAGCCCCAAACTTTGTTTCAAACAATATCCCCAATTCCCCACTTACCACCATTTTATAGGAGCATCAATCTATCAGCTATATCAATTTCAGAGTTCCCTAATAAAATGTTTTCTTAGGAAAGAAATAAATACAAAGAAAAAGAGAGTCTGAATTACTGGTCAGAAGATAGTTCTTCTATTTCACGATTCAAGATCCATCAGAGCCTGTTAAATGACACTGGTTTTGCTGATAGCAGATCTACTTCCTCTAAAAATTGCTGTTACAGTACAAACATAACCACTTTTCACTAAATTTGAACACTTCAGACCTGACCATTGATGATTTTAATCATCATGGTTAGTTGGTTTATCTACTTTAGTATGAAAATAAAAGAAATTGCCACATGACAACTAAGGAGATATGCAAAACAATATGCGTTGAATGGGGAAAAGGACAGAGAGAAAACGGGAAAAACAGTTCAGACGTCTGTCAAGATCAATGATGAGACAATCATAACATATGCTAGAAAGAAGAAAATTGCTATCTGGATGAAGAATTTTGGATTTTCCCTCATGTTTGGTGATGTTACCGCTCTGCAACACAATTTGTTAGTTGTTTAGTCAAAGAGGGGGGAGGAACATAAAGAAAATGGAAAAGAAGAGAAAAAATAAACAAAATATATAGCATAACCATTGACTTGGTTAATTTTTTCTATATCACTGGTTAAAAGGCACATAAAGAACCTTGCAACACGTTGAGAAAAACGGTAGAAGGGCAGACTCTGAAGGAAGACTATGCCAGGTCCTGTCAGAACAGCTGTTACTAGGTTGTCACCCTGCATGATGAATACTTACAGTTGAGCACATTGGACTTGCATGTCATAACTATAATAAACATATACATGTTAACTTGGATGCAACCATGAGCCTTGAACTTGCTTTGAGACAAGCATGCCAAGCCTGTCAACCATATATATGAATACAGTTATATGCAAGCTACACTCGTATATCTGTGTGCCTTAACTCCAAATATTACTGCATATCAGAAATATCTTGTAAGGGTTGTTGTATAAACATGGCTGATGGCTCTTGATAGAGCACAATGGTGGAACAAGGTTTGTGTAGCCAACCCCAAATAGTTGGGATTAAGGCTGAGTTGAGTTGAGTTGTAACAGAGATATCTCATAACAGAGTGAAAATAACACACATGAGAAGCCATTGTTGATCAAATTTTGAACTCTATTTTACAGCACAACCAAATATTAGATGGCTGAGGATTGTAAGGGTGGGTCTATGTTGTTTTCATAAATGATCCACCAGAGAAATGTCTGATCGTGAAAAGCTAATTAAAGCCTTAGTCCTGACCCCCAGCTTAAAAAGGTTAGAATCAGCAAATTCATGTCAACTGGGCATAGTAGTCTTTGCCACCAGCAAATGAGAATCCAAGTTAAAAACTTAATTAAGAGAAGTTATTCCCAGTAGTAAATAGCAGAATTTACTTGAAAGTTATTCCATCTCTCATTTGGAAAATGGCAAGCAAGTCATTGAAGCCAATTGATAGGAATCAATCAGTACCCTTGAAAACATATTCTAGAAAGAAGGCCGTACAACAGGTCCTGATATGACATAGTAATGGTACTTGGGATTTGGACTGAATTGAACACCAAGGGTATTTTTGCCATTTTATAATTTTTCTGTAGGGTCCAATAATAGCGTTTGATTGTCTATTTATAGTTTGTTTATGCTTAAAATTTCAGAATCATTGCATAAGTAGGATTAGAGTTATTAAGTCTTCTTTGAATTGAAATAGGATGTGACAGCTCAGTTTGAGTCCTACTAGGATTATTTTTTTTATCAGTAATATTCAGATTTATTAAATCAAAGACAAAGATAGTACAACTTAGGGAGAGGCACGATATGCTACCTCCCCTTTAAAGAGGGGAGATGGAAGAAACCATCAACCCTTTAGTAACATAACAAAGGAAAAAGAAAATCACAATGAAACCCGAGTAGCCCCTAGTTTAGCAAGATAATCAGCCAAGGCATTAGCCGATCTACCCAGCCACTGAACTCTAACTGTCATGCCCCTCAATAGCCATTTAACCTTTTCTAAAATATCCTTAAAGTTCCAAGTGACAGTACCCAGGTCAGCCAACCATCCTACTACCACCTTGGAGTCTCCTTCAATTATCAAGTTTTGCACTCCGAGTTGATAGGCAATCTGTACCCCCTGTGCCGCAGCTAGGAGTTCAGCCCTCACAGAGTCTCCTATTCCCACCGGTCCCGAAAAAAAAGGAAATGATGTTGCTGTTCTCATCTCTCAGTACACCGCCAATCCCAGACGGTCCTGGGTTACCCTGACTACTTCCATCAAAGCTCAGCTTAATAAAACCCTCCATCGGCGAAGTCCAAGTTACTTGGACTCTAGGCTTCCTAGAGGAAGTGAGGGCAACTGCAGACCAATTCCTCATTAAATCCTCAAAGGAATAATCTTCAAAGAGCTTTAAGGATTTCATCCACAAAATAGTCCTTGTAACAATACACTCTTTGACCTCAAGAATGCTTCTTTCCTTCTCCTGAAAAATTCTGGAATTTCTCCCTTCCACACAAAGGTAGAAGGGGAAAACAACAAATTTACCTCAACTGGCAAGTTCCACCTACACTCAAACAAATCAAATACCCAATTCCAAATGGCTGCAGCAAAAGAACAAGAAATCAATAAGTGGTAACAATCCTCATTCTACGCTTTGCACAAAATACACCAGTTAGGAGATAAAAACAAAAAAGGTCTTTTCTTTTGCAGGTTATCCAACGTATTGATTTTACCCAAGTAAACTTCCCAACATAATACATCAATTTTTGGGGGAATAGGCCTAGACCAAACTTCCTTAACTGGGAAAGCCTGAGGAGAAGAACTGGAGCAGAGGGAATTAAAGAAAGATGCACAAGTAAACAACCCTTTCGGAATCAAAGTCCAAATCCTCCTATCAGGATTTAGTGGGTCCAAGCAAGCAGAATCAAGTAACAATAGGAGCTCAGAAACTGATAAGGATTCCTCATCCCTCAACCCTCTACAGAATCCAAGGTCCCAATTTGTCGACAAAGGGGTATACGGGGGCAAAAGAAAGAAATACACAGGTTCTTTTTTATAAAGGGAAATAGAAAAGAGAGAAGGGAACAGATCCTTAAGGGGCAAATTTCCCACCCTAGTGTCTTCCTAGAAAATAACACGAGTCCCAGAGCAAGCATCATACCTTACAAAGCATAGGAACTATGGGAGGATGCCATGAATTGCCTTCCAAGGTGTTGCAAGAGTTGCCCGTCTGGATACCCCTACATCCCAACCATTTCTAGAATAGCCATGGATACTTGCCACCACTTCAAGCCATAACCTCTCCCTCTCTAAAGGCCACCTCCACAACCACTTACCTAGAAGGGCTACATTCTTGAAAGGGATATTCCCTATTCCTAATCCTCCTTCCTCCTTCGACTAACTATCTCCCATCTAACCAAATGATCCTTCTTCTCTTGCCCCGGCTCCCACAAGAAGTCACTCGTCATTTTCTCTAACCTCTTAGCTTCCCTAGCAGGAATATTAAAGACAGATAAAAAGTAGACCGACAGATTAGTAAGTGTGGATTTGATCAAAGTCACTCTACCCCCCACAGAGATATAATTCTTTTTCCAGCTTGCCAACTTCTTTCCAAACTTTTCCACAACAGGGATCCAAAAGCGGCTTTCCTTTGGGTTACCTCCTAGGGGAAGACCTAGATAAGTTAAGGGCCAGGAAGAGGTGGAAAACTCTAAGCAACCTGCAATAGCCTTTATTTCTTGAGCATCCATATTGACTCCCATACACAACTTTTTTCAAAGTTGATTTTTAGATTTGAGGCCTTTTCAAAAAAAATTAATTAAATTCTTAAGGTTCCCAACCTTCCTCAAATCGCTTCCTTCACAAAAGATTATAGTATCATCTGCAATCTGAAGGAGAGTCACAGACACACTAATTCCTCCTATTCTCCAACCACTCACAACCTCCTCCCTGTTTGCTTTTGATATCAATCTACTTAACACATCAGCAACAAGAGTGAATAAAAAGGGGGAGAGTGGATCACCTTGTCTTAAGCATCTACAAGCTGGGAAGAAATCCTTAACTACTCCATTGACAATGATAGAATAATGGCAAGAAGTGAGACAACCCTTGATCCACTTGCACYATCTTTCCCCAAATCCACACTTACTTAGCACCTCTAAGAGGAAGCTCCAATCCACCATATCGTAGGCTTTTCCAAGATCCAATTTGCAAACAAAGCCCTTCTTACCTGATCTCTTCATCTCCTCCACACATTCATTAGCTATCAAAATCWGATCTACTATTTGTTTGCCTTGTACAAACGCACCTTGAGCTTGACTAATTAGAGAGGGAAGTACCACTTCAATCCTCAAGGATAAGACCTAGGGCAAAATTTTGTAAACACTAGTCACCAAGCTAATTGGTTTGAAGTCCTTAGGATGCTTAGCAACAACCTTCTTGGGAACAAGAACTACAAAAGTAGCATTGACTCCAAGGCTAACAACATGATTATCCTCAAACTCCCTGAGGACCTCAAATAAATCATTTTTAACTATGTCCCAACAATCTTGATAAAAGGCCATCGTGAATCCATCTGGCCCAAGAGCCTTAGATCTATCCATTAGGAAAACTTCTTGTCTTCCTCCTCAAAATTTCTTTCCAGCCATCCCCTCTCCCTCTCAGAAAGACGTAGCCAGTCTAGACCATCCACTTCCGCCCTACAATCAAGAGGCCTTCTCAGAATTGACTTAAAATGATCTACAAAGCATCTGGCTATCTCTTCTTGAGAGGAGATTTCCTCTCCATCAATCTCAAGTTGTTCTACAAAATTTTTCCTCCTCCTCCCATTGGCCATCACATGACAAAATTTTGTGTTCCCGTCTTCTCGTAGCAGGACCTCTTCTAATTCCTTATTTAAATTCCATCTCAACTCCCGTTCCTGTGCATTCATAGTCCTTTGGGATTCCTTTTTGTCCAATTCTTTAATTTGAGTCAACAAGGAAGATTTTAAATCCTCTAACCTCCCAAAATGGTCCCTGTTCCTGGCTTTCAATTTTGTCCTCAAGTTTCTTAGTTTTCTATGAAAACTAACTCCTTTCCACTTCA